CAATCAACTCATTGCATTCATATTATTTTAATGGTGTTTAATAAAAATTTGTAAAAATTATAAATTTTCACTAAATTTTTAAGTTATAAATTAAACAGAAATATTTTAAAGATTTCTTCCATTATTAGTTTCAATTTTTATCAATCTATTCTGATTTTCCAACTTAATAATGAGTTAACTTGGCTAAATCTTTTGCAAGATTATTTAAGACTTTCTTGAAGCAAGAGTTCATCCTAATACAAAGTTAATTCCGATTTTTGATTGTCTGTTCTTTGCATAGACCATTCTTTTTAGAATACTCCAAAAATTTTCAATTAAACAACATTCTGATGTGTTTAACTGATTATTAACTATGGCCACATTTATGGAATTCTTTTCAAAGAATGATGTGACTGTTTGGCATAATGTGATGAATCCAGGTCAGGCCAAAATAAGTATTGATCATCATTATGATATTCTTTATCAAAAGGCACTTATCTTAGCTTCTTAATACAATATTAAGACAAGCATTTTTATATCATATTAAAAACAACTAAGAAAAACAACTTTTTTTGAAATTGTCTGCTGCCACCCCCTAAATGGTACTTTTTAATTTTTGTTAAAAAATGATATTTTTTAAGCCTTAAAATTTACACTAGTAATCTTTATATAAAATGATTATTATTTTTTAAATTTTTATAAAATTTCACTTCTTTTGAGACCCAACATGATATACTTTTGAAGAACTTTTTTAAAAAAATATTAGGGACCCGTTTTATGTTTAAGGGTCTTAAGCGATCGCTAAAATTTTTTTTTATTCAAATTTTTTTTTAATTTAGTGTTAATTTATTACATAAAACACATTTAGGGGGTGGCAGCAGACAATTTCAAAAAAAGTTGTTTTTAGAGGCACTAATATATATATATATATATATATATATATATATATATATATATATATATATATATATATATATATATATATATATATATATATAGATATAGATATATATATACACTTACTAAAGCGTGTTTTGATAAGCATTTGCTCACTTTTTCTGCTTACCTTAAGCTATACCGTTTTTTTCAAAAAAAAAAGAAGAAAAAACGAAGAATGATGAATAAAACCATTGCTTCCCCATCCCAAACCCTCAGTCGATGTAGCAGCACTCCACTGCGAGTCAGGCTATTTGTCAGTCAATGTATGTACTGAAGCCCCCAGCAGCAGGCTATTTCAGTATGACGTCAGATTGCTTACTTTAGTACGCAATACTATTTGTACCTATATATACATATATATATATATATATATATATATATATATATATATATATATATATATATATATATGTATGTATATATGTATATGTATATATATATATATATATATATATATATATATATATATATATATATATATATATATATATATACTTATATACACATACACATATATATACACACATAAATATATGCAAACATACACATACACACATACACATCCGTGTATACATATACACGGATGAAGAAATTGTTGAAGGTAAGAGGTAGGTTTTTGTGTTGTTGATTCCAGACAAACTGGCAATTCAAGAATTGAAAAAGATTACATAGTTTAAGGATCTTAGAAGTAAGATAAAGCACATTAGGATTGAATTTGTAATTCTGAAGATGTATTATTTTTAAAGTTTTGTTTTAAGACGGGATAACCTTAAAACTGCTTGAGATTGTCCCCATATTTGACAAGAATATTTTATATGTGAGCCAAAAATAGCATGATATATATTTAATAGTGTTTCCAGATTGACATAATGGTGAACTTTAGCCAGCATTCCATTTGATCTGCTTAATTTTATTGCTAAATCTTTAAGATGGGATACAAACGATAGGTTGGAATCAATTATAATTCCAAGATATTTGATTGAGTTTACGGGGATGATTTTCTGGGCACTTAATCTAAAGTTTGAATTTTTATTGATTTTTGTTTTATTAAATTTAAATATGACCAGTTTAGTTATGCTAAAGTTGAGAGAAGGCTTATTTGAGCAAAGCCACTGAACTAGAGTGGCAAGATCATGATTAATGTATTTGTTAACTTTTTTTAAAAATTTGTTGATAATGAGCAAGTTAGTATCATCAGCAAAGCGGTAAAGAGTTGCAAATTTAATGGAACTATTAAGGTCATTAATGTAAAGAAAAAAAAGTAGTTATCCTAATACTGAGCCTAGAGAGACACTGAGATCTGTTGTGAAGATAGGAAGTAAACCATTTAAGAGGTATTCCTCTGATTCCATTATATTCTAACTTCTTGAGTAAGATAGAATGTATGTGTACTGTATCAAAAGTTTTTTGTAGATCTACAAAGGCACCACATGCAAAGTTTTTATCATCAAATACTTTTCTAATTAACTAAGGTATTTTAATAAATGAGTGAGCTATGGAATGATTTGCACGAAACCCATACTGGTGTTTGTAAAGGCATTTAAATTTTTTCAAAAATGCATAGAGCCTTTTTTGCATAGCTTTTTCAAAGAGTTTACTTAGGTTTGAAAGAAGAGAGATAGGTCAGTAGTTAGACATATCCATTGTAGAACCTTTTTTAAGTATTGGAATGACTTTAGCAACTTTGAAAGCATCTGGGAATAAACCATTTTGAAATGAGTTATTTATATTAATACTGAGAGGTTTAGAAATTATGTCTATTATAAGTTGAAGAAGTAATGTAGGAAGGCTATTAGGACCTAAGCTTTTTCCAGTTCTAAAGATGGTTTTAATAAGATTAGAGATTTCATTATCTGTGACAGGATCAATAAAGAATGAATTTGGAGAGTTAAGATTTAAATTTGGTATTAAGTAAATTTGGATGTTGAAGGTATGATTTTGTTTTGAAGTTTGTTTTGGATAGTAACAAAAAAGTTGTTTAATATATTTGATACAGTAGTTTGATATTTTCTTTCAATTTAAGTTTAAGAGTTGAACTATAGTAGGAAGGTTTTATATCAGTGATTTCTTTTATCCTTTTCCAAGTATTGTTTAAGTTTTATTATATATTGTTTATAATATTGTTAATAATATTGTTTAAGTTTTTACTAAAATAGGTTGTGTAATAAGATTTTTTACTAATTTTTAGTAGATTGCTGATTCTGTTTCTAATAAAATTTAAATTTAGAAAACAGTTTCTTTTTAGTACTAATATCTTTACATTTTGTGCATTTTTTATATAGTCTGTTTTTAATGGAAATAGATTAAAAGTATGTCATCGGTGATCCATGGTTTTGATTTAAGTTTAATTTGCTGCTTAGTTTTTTGTATAAAGCATGCTGGTCTAATATGTTTTCAAATGTCTTTAAAAGAAAACTGATAGATTGATTTACTTCATCATCTTTTTTAATATAGAGATCCCAGTTAATGTTGGAAACATCTTTAATAAATATATTTTTGTTAAAGTTCTTGAAGCATCGCCTGGAAGATATATTTTTTTTAGGGTGGTAAGCTTTTTCAGGAATGTAGATAAATTGAGCCATATGATCAGATATTGAAATAGTAAGATTGCCAGAGATTTGGTCAGGTGAATTAAAGTTTATAAAAGTGTTATCAATAAGTGTGTGTGATTTAGCTGTTATGCCTGTTGGTAGAATTATAACAAGGTGTAATGAAAAAGAAATAAGCGAGTCAATGTAGCTGGATATAGGATTTGGTTCAATAATTTTAGTATATCCATATTGAATTTTAGTGTACCCATATTGATTCATTATATTTTAGTATATCCATATTGAGTAAAAAATGTTATTGCCATTGATTGTGCTGTAAGCTAAAGTGAAATAAATTCATCAATGATGCACATTTTTCTTGCAATTTTCAAATTTTTTTATATTAAAGTGGTCCAAGTCAGTGGCATGCTGGCTCCAAAAAACCCATGCGGGATTTTTCTAAAAAGGCAATCAAGCATAAAAAAAGCAATAATTAAAACTAAATAGTTTTGATGATAAAATGTTTTAAAAAAAATTATTAAACTTTTTTTTTATTACTTAAAAATCAGTAATTTCTTTTAATTAAATAGTTTCAGGATTGTGAACTCCCACCTGTAATCGCAATTGCTTACTTCAACCCTTGATGCAGTTTCATTAATTTATTACAATTGTTAAAAGCACTATTGTGACGTAAAAATTTTTTGCATTTATTTTTGAGGCCAATTTGAATAATAATGTTTGTATTATGCAAAATACTAATATACTAGCTCTCAAACAATTTGAATAATAATATTTTTATTATACAAAATACTAATATATTAGCTCTCAAACAATTTGAATGTATATTAGTATTTTGCATAATACGTTTGCATTATGCAAAATACTAATATACTAGCTCTCAAACACTTCAAATCAGATGATTACAGAATTTTGTTTGTAAAAGCATAAATAAAATGAATAAAAAATTGTTTATTGATGATTTAAAGAATAGTAAAATAGTTTTTTTTTCCGAAAGGCTTTTCTAAGATAAAAAACTTAAAGCCCATGCAGGATTCCTGCATAGCCTCTGGCCCTTTTAATCACGTTGAATGTTTGTGATATTTTATGGAGTGTAAAGCAACATCGCTTAAAGTAATTAGTTTTTTGTTAAGAATTTTTACCAAATTCTTAATCATGGTTTTTGTTCTTTATAAAACTGGATCGTCTTTTTGGTTTTTTATTTATAAAAATGATTATGTTCTAATTAGAAATTTCGTTTTGACTAACTTTTTAAATAATTATTTAATATTGGTTATATATATAAATAAAAAAAATGTGAAAATTAGCAGATAATTGTTTTATAGGTTTATTGATTTTTGAAAAAACAGAATTCATTTGATGATCAAGAATTATTTTTAAACTTTATATGAAATTTTAATCATTGTAGAATGTTGCATAAAAAGTCATGTCTTATCTACATAATTCTCCTCAAAAAATCTTTTCATAATTTTGCCCTTCTACCAGTCCTCTGTGCTGTGTGTAATTTTATGGAATATTTAACTTTTTTTTTTTTAGGTAATATATTTGAATATGAGTCCTGAAGATGCTCACAAGATACTTGTTGATGTTTATAATCCTCCATACTTACCTTTTAGGTTTGTTAAATATTTGTTTTCATAAATTCAGTTTTTAAAAATTATAATAACCTTTTTTTTTTTATCAATTGATAATGACTGGTTGATGGATGTTTATTAAAAATTAGATTTTAAGCACCTAATATAAATGTTATAATATAAAATTTTAATTGTAATGATACTAATAATAAGCATAGTTGTCATAGCAATCTCATTTTTTTGTTTTAGTTTTTGAACTTACAAATTAGTTGCCAGTATTTTTCACTATTTTTGTTGTAGGCTATGTTTTCATTTTTTATGTTCTTCAAACAGAAAACTGAACTTTTTAAAATTGTTTGTATTCAATTTTTTTTTCCAAAGTTTTTTAAGTTTTTTTTTTTTTTTAACTTTTTTTAGGGATGCTTCATTTGGTGGATGTACATATAACTTAACAATACTTGATGTTTTAAATGGTGTAAAAAAGGTTTTTTTTTCAAATTTTATTTTTATTTTCAAAGAAATTTTCTTGCAATGACTCGTGTCACATAATTCTGATATTATTAATAATGTTTTAAAATTGGTATAACTTCAATGGAAATCATTTTTCTTGATGTTTATTTGAAATTCACAAATACTGTAGGCTGGTGGTAAACCTTGGTTATAATTTTTTCTAGTTTTAAACATGGTAATAATTTTTGAACATTGGATGATATTTTGATTTCAAAATAAATTTAGATTTCCCTCGCATTTGAGTGGGTGAGATGTTTTGGATTTCTTTTGTTCAAGCCTTTAACTATCAGATTACTATAAAATGTTATGCTCTTGATCAAGACCCATATAAAATAAACACCCTTATGTAAAAATAACTTTACAATTTAGAATTTATTTGCAATTAGTAGTTCCCAGAACTTACATACATTTTTATTATGGTTCCATTAGTAGATTCTCTAAAAGAAGATTTATTAGTTTTGATGTTATTCATAAATTAATTTTCCATTGGTGTTTTCTAGAAAGAGCAAATTAAATAAAATTAAAAGATTGTTTTAAGATTGTTATACATTCTTTAATACCTGGTGACCAAACAAAAAAGCCACTTTTTTGAAGTTTTTCAAAAAAGCTAATTTTTCAAGAATATTTGTTATATTTCAGACCATTTGGATGATCTTTCACATTGTAGTATTCTTCTTTCAGGTAGACTGAAATCCATTGTGGAGAAGCGATTAAATTTTTGGTAGAAATGTTTATAAAAAGTGCACATCAATTAAAGTTACATACAGCAAAAGTATGTCATCACAAAGAGTAAAAAAGCTTTCTTCATCTCTGACTTGCAACATGTATTTTTTCCTTGATCAATGAAGAAATGCATGTTATGGTATGTTGCTGCAGCTTTGATAAAAATGAATTTGTTAAAAGAAATAATAAACCAATTAAATTGAACCAATCAGATTGATCAATGCTTTAAAAATAAATGAAAAATGAAATTTGATCTTGGCTAGATTCTTAGTCAATCGCCCTCAATAAAATTTAATAAAAGTTATTGGATATTTAGTTAGAAAAGCAATTGTCTTACTTATATCAGGAAATAAAATATTAACATAGACATAAATGAAATTTTGCTAAAGAGTTCAATACTTATGTTATTCATATGTTGTATTGATTTTTTAGAGTGTTCAACATGGTTTTTTGATTTTGTATTGATTTTTTAGAGTGTTTAACATGGTTTTCTTGATTTTGTATTGATTTTTTAGAGTGTTCAACATGGTTCTTGATTTTATATTGGTTTTTTAGAGTGTTCAACATGGTTTTCTTGATTTTGTATTGATTTTTTAGGGAATCCAACATGGTTTTCTTGATTTTGAACACTTCGATCCCATGGAGTATGAACATTATGAGGTTTTTGTTTTGTTTTGTTTTTGCTTTAACCGAATATTTTTATTTTTAGCTTTCCAGTTTGTTTTCTTTTATAGAGAGTGGAGAATGGTGATTTTAATTGGATACTTCCTGGTAATTTTTTATTATGTAAAAACTGCTTTTATTTGTTTTTTTTTTAATGCAATAAATTTATTTTTATATGCATGCATATATGTGTATGTGTATTTGTGTACCTTAAACCCCCTCCTCCTTTTAAATAAAAAATTACAACTTTTTTTTGTATGTGTTGTGGTTATTTTTTGTGATTAATTAAAGCCTAATTTAAGCTCAGTTGTCCATTTCGTACATTCTTAATTCTGTTTTCTATTTAATGAGTGCCTAATATTGTAAAAAAAAAAGTTATTTTAAAATAGATCAGCCTGGTAAAAAAGATATCAAAAAACTTATAAAATTCTTGATTTTCATTTTTAATTTTAAAAGAAATGAATTTTTATAAGTATTCTGCATTAAAATTGAAAACAAAATGCCAGGTTATTTGCGGTAGTGGTAGAGCACTCACTTCATAATTGAGAAGTTCCAAATATCAAATGCGATGTTTAAAGTTAAGTAACAAAAAGTGATGGGTTCACAAATTCATCTTTTATTACTCTGGCTTCATGCTGTGTTGATAAAACACTTTCATTTATGTACTTTTTAAATGCAGTCTATTTTGCTGTGTCTATGTTTTTTATACTAGTTGTAAATTAATTACTTTCTTACTTTAAATTAAATAATTATTTTATTGCTTTATTCTTTTATATCACCTTGTAAAAGCATCTTTGATGCTTTCACAGGGTTGCCACTCAACCTGGAAAACCGGGAAAATTCAGGGATTTTTTGAAATTTTCATAAAATTCAGGGAAAACTCAGGGAAAATTTTTTTTTTTTGAAATTTTGTACAATAATTTTTTTTTTTCAAAAATATTTTGCTAATACATATAAAAATAAGTTTGCAAGATGTAGGTGTTTTTGTAAAAGTTTTAGTTTGTCAAATATAAAGGTTGTGTTTAATTAAGAAAAATAATAATCTTGTTGATGAACAGGAAAGAATATACAAAAATCAGGGAAAACTCAAGGAAAACTCAGGGAACTTGAAGAGTTCAACTCAGGGAAATGTCCTTTACTCAGGGAAAACTCAGGGAAAAACTGAAAATTATAGTGGCAACCCTGTTTCATAAGTTATCTCAAAAATAGTTAAAATGTTTTTAACGTAGCTCTGAAATATTTTTGTAATATGTTAGGGAAATTCCTTGCACTTGCCGGACCCCATGAAGAAACCAAGATTTTTAATGGTAACTTTTAACATTTGTTTATTTGTTAAAAGTAAATTTTTAAAATAAGATAAATTTTTTTTTTTTTTTTTTTTGCTCTTATTTTTTTTTTTTCAATTATTTCAGGTTATCCCCAGCATGCTCCTGAATCGTACTTTGCATACTTTCGCAAACATAATGTTAAAGCCATAGTTCGGTTAAATAAAAAAGTTTATGATGCTAAAAGATTTCAAAATGCTGGTTTTGATCACTATGATTTATTTTTTGTTGATGGGAGTATTCCAGATGATAGTATTGTCAGGTCTTAGTTTATATTTATTTTTTATTGATGAGAATATTTCAGATAATATTATTATCAGATTTTACTTTATATTTATACTTTATATTTATTTTTTGTTGATGGAAGTATTCAAGATGATAGTGTTGTTAGGTTTTATTTTATATTTCATTACCAAATAAATTAATTTGTTCTATATTTTGTAATTTATTTCTTAATGATCATAATTATTTTATATTTATTCCATAGTTCTTAATTTATTTTTGATGATTTTTGTTTCAAGTTTAATTACTTAAATTTTTATTAAAACTGTTACTAGGCGTTTTAATGGTATTGTTACAATTTATTAGGCGTTTTAATGCTATTGCTGAAAACACTAAAGGCGCTGTTGCTGTACATTGTAAAGGTAACTGTTTTTTGTTTTTGTTTTTAATGGTAACTGTTTTTTATTTCTTTTTTTAAGTTGATTTACATATATAAAGTAAGGGTTTCAGTGCATACATGGACTTAGGGTCCATTGAGCAACGAATATATGTGTATGAAAGAGATATATTGTCAAACTACTACTACTACTACTACTACTGCTACTACTACTACTACTACTACTACTACTACTACTACTACTACTACTACTACTACTACTACTACTACTACTACTACTACTACTACTACTACTACTACTACTACTGTTACATGTATATATCAATGTGTATATATATATATATATACATACATATATATATATATACAGTACATTAGGGTGTTACCCAGCCTGATGGCACCGTGTATAACGCGGTATTCCCAATTGGTTTAAAATTCCCAAAGGTTTATAAGATCATAGTAAAAAAAAAAAAGTCAGTCTCAGATTTAAAGTGTCGCGCTAGACTAGTAAAAATTAGTATGCATGACGAAAAAATGAATTAAAATTGATCAATTTTTTTTTATGTGTAAAAACGTGTTGTCATTAACAAGCATCATTAACCTTAACAAGATCATTCATTCAAAAGTTTAAAAAAAACTTTTTTTAAAAATTTTTACAGATTTTCTTTTTTTTTTTAATTTTTTTTAATTGCGCTTTTCTCGAAATACGTAATTAAGGCGTTTTGAAAAACGGCTGCAGTATATCAAAAACAAAGAAAAGAAGCGATTTTAATGAAAACTTTAGAAGATTGCTCATAATGAAACAAGTTGATTAAAATTAAACATATATATAGTAGAAAAATAATCCTGTTGTAAATGTAACTCCCAGCAAAAATAGAAAATTTTTTTTGAATAAAATTTAATTGCAGAATGTAAGGACCTTTTTTTTTTTTTTTTAGCCGCACTTAAATTCCCAATTTCGCAAAAGCGCTGTATGAAATTTTTTCCTGAGTAACACCCTGTACATATATATATATATATATATATATATATATATATATATATATATATATATATATATATATATATATATATATATATATATATATACATACATGTGTGCATACATATATACATACACAAAATAAATTAATATACTTTATATGTATCATACTACATGTAATATGTAAAATATCGATTAATTTTTTTTTTTTTTTTGTATAGCTGGTCTGGGAAGAACAGGAACTTTAATAGCTTGCTATATAATGAAGCATTATCGATTTACTGCAGCACAGGCAATAGCATGGATTCGGTATGCTTTTAACATCAATATAAATTATAATACTAGGTCATGATGTACAAACGATGTAGTATTAGGTCATGATGTACAAATGATGTAATATTAGATCATGATGTACAAATGATGTAATATTAGGTCATGATGTACAGACAAGGATATTACAACATAAAAAGTTTTCTATAGTGGTATCTAAAATATTTTTATATTACAATTAAGTTACCTGGTAATTTGTTTTTTATGCTTTAAATACTTTAAAAAAATATTTTTTTAATAAAATTTAATAAATATCAAATAAATAAATAAATTTAAAAAAAAAATCTGATAAATATAAAAATCTCAGATCATGTTTCACATGCAACATTTGCAGTTAGCACATGCTTTACTTAACTTTAGTTTTGAATTATTTTGTTTGAGCTTATTTAGATCTTTAAACTGCGATTGTTTAAGTTTTAAACAGGTTATTGTTAAGTATTTTTAATAACAATTTGATGAAAGAATTTATTCCAGTTAATAATTCAAGTTAAACAATGCTTTTATTAAATAAAAAATAATCAGGACTCGACAATTTACCAAATGTGCGAAAGTTGAACATAAAATTGGCAAAATTGGTTTGAATGTTTAGCATAAAACCAACAAATGTGTAAAATTTTAGCATGAAATTAATGGAAAAACAAATGTAGAGATCACCAACTTTTCTTTAATCAACATTTGCTTTAAAATTTAAAGAACAAAGCTGTATTTAACCATTTTTGTTTTTAATTTTGTTATTTAATATTTATTTTACTCTAAGTAGCATTATTTTTGTTTTAAAAATATTGAAAGAGCTAAAAACTTCTGTAAGTCTTCAAATGCGCAAAACTTTTTTTTAATTTAAATTTTTTTCTGTTTTCTATTTAATGAGTGCAGTTTTCTCCATTAGTTTAGGATATTTACTTTAAGTGCAGTAAAACCTTCAGTTTGTCATTTTATTTTATTTTGTTGAGAATTAAAATGTTTTTTTTTTTTTGTTGTTATTATTTTAATCATTTTATTTTTTTATTTTTTTTTATTTTAATCATTTTATGTAGAAAAAAAATAAAACAGGTGTTTCTATTTTTATTTATTTTCTTTAGAGTTTAAATAAAACTTTTTTTTTTTTTTAAATAAAATTTGTTTTTTTTTTTTAATTTTTTTCTTTAGAATTTAAATATAACGTTTTTTTTTTGTCGTTTTTATTATAACTGAAAAGGCAAATAAAAATTAGGTTTTAAAATTGCTCACTCCAGACTAAAAATATTTATGATAAATTATAAACAGAGAAGGCCTTACTTTTAGCATTTGTAAATAAATATTGAGAACATCAAGGTTTGTCCAAAAAAAAAGGTTTTTCAAATATTGAAAAAAAAAAAGAAAAGAAATGCAAAGTTTAAAAGGTATTGGAAACTCTTTAAGTCTTTAGTATGTCATAAACAATGTCAATATTTTTTGGTCAATAATTTGTCATTAACAATGTCATAAACATTCAAAAGTTAACAAGAACTTTCTTTTTAAATTGTCTGCTCTTTTGCACTGGATTGTCCGTTTTATTAAAATAATTTTTATTATTTTAATAAAATAGTAAAAGTATTTTTAATTTATTATTTTAATATTAATGTAAAGAAAATTTATTTTTAATATCATTTTTATTGTGATTAAAAAATAATATTATTATGAGAATAGTCTTTGTGGAATAGAATTATATAGAAACATAAACTAGTTCTGAAGGATCAGAGCACAGAAATGGAGAATTTTTTCAGTTTAGATTTACAGAACTGTTTTTAAAGTCTTCTTACTGATCGAACATTGTATCAGTTTGATGTTTTTTAAAAAGTATTTTTATAAATCCTCAAAGTTTTTTTCCAACTAACGGTGAAGCTTAAATTGCATGATTTGAAGATTTGTATTTAATAAATATTTTTTAATAGGTTTAAATTTTTTCTTTTTCTTGATTATGACTAAGCATTTATTCTTTACAAAAGATTATTAAAAAAGCTTAATTTGTACAGGATTTGGGTCAATATTTTAAATTGAATTAATGCTTTCCTTTTAATGCTCTTCCTTGATAACATCCAAAAAAAAACAGGTTACTATGGTATTCTGTTAAGCTTAGTTCTTGGTCCAACAATAGTTTTAATTCAATATCAATGAACTAACTGACCAATAGTCCAATTATAGCTTGTGCATTTGAACAAAAAATAATGTAACCTCATGCATATCAACCAGTCCAAATCTATTCCCCACATTTATTTCATTGATAAAAACAACTCAAACAGCTTAGTCAAAAAAATTATATAATCACTTATTATTTTATATTTATATGAAATAATAAGTGAATTATAAGTGATTATATAATAAAATTATATAATCACTTATGATTATATATTTATATGAATCATTTGATCTAAGTATTGTTTTTTCAAAAGAAAAAGTTTAAACAGTTTTTTTCATAAAGTTTAAACAGTTTGTTTTGAAAAAAAAAAAATTTTAATATATTTTAATTTAGTTTTCCAATTTTTTTCCTGTATTTATTTACACTGCAGTTGAGACTTTTTTAACTATTGTAATTTTAAATTATTACAAATTATTCAACTCTTCAACTCTTAAGCATAAGTTGCCTTAACTTTTATTGAGCCAACAACTGAAGCCAACAACTGAAGTGGTGAAATCACTACAGTTGCTGTTACACACAGTTGCTAAGCCTAACATGGTGCTATGTTGAAAATAATCTTCCATTATTGAGATAGCTTTTGTGTACTTTACACAGCTTATGTATGATCACCATCATCGGTTAGAGTCAAATATGTATTTGTTTTTGTATTTGGTAATTATAGACTATGTTATGGTATTTGATATTTCTATTAGATTTACTTAGTGCTGGAGCTAGTTGGTTTAGTATACAAATTTCAACTTTGTTAAGGCAGTGGTACATCTTGAAGTACTGGATGAAGTCACCTCTATGTTATCTGTCCTTAAGTGATTATATACTGAATGCAGCTTGTCTTTTAGTATACAAATTTCAACTTTGTTAAGGCAGTGGTACATCTTGAAGTACTGGATGAAGTCACCTCTATGTTATCTGTCCTTAAGTGATTATATACTATCGATTACCGCCTATCTATCATTTATTCACATGGTACAAATAGTTAATTCAAAAATTATTCTACCATATTCTTACCTTAGTTTTGAGAAAACCTAATAAGTTTTTATTTGCAGCTTTTATATGTTTTTTTTTTTTTAAATTTTAAGTTGCTGATGGTGATCTTTATTATTTTTGTTTTGTTTTGTTTTATTTAGATTGTGTCGTCCAGGATCTATTATTGGTCCTCAACAGCATTTTCTCGAAGAGTATGAGCTTGTTGTTATAGTTACAAATAGTTGTTTGTTTTTTGTCTTTTGTTTTCTTTTTTTAAGTAGAAGTCATAAAATTCCAAGTTTATTATTATGTTGTATTAAAATTAAAAATATTTAAATTACAAGCTATAGATTTTATTTAGCATTTTTTATATTTATTGCATATGTTTATATTTTTTTCAGAAAACAAACAGCAATGTGGATACAGGGAGATATTTACAAATCACGGTTAAAATCAGGTATATTAAGAATCATTTTCTTTTTTGCAGTTTAAAAAAATGATTTCAGTGTCTAAACATCTCTACATCAATGCTCCAACATTTATTAGTTGGCCAATTACTGGCCAGTTTACATTTTTTAACTTAAAAGATTTTTTTGTCATTACTCTAATTATATTATTATATATTGAAATTTTTTTTTATTATTATTATAATAAATGATTTAAAATTAGAGGTGAATATTCAAACCTTGTGCTTTGTTTTATTCTACCTTAAATTTTGTTCTCTTAAGTTTTTTTTATTCGACCTTAAGTTTTATTTTATTCGACCTTAAGTTATGTTTTCTTTTGTTCTTTATTTAAAAGTTGTGTTATATAAAAAAAATTTGTTTAGATATACCAGAAAATAATATTGAGAACATTTTACAAGGAGTGGATTCAATATCATTACTTGATTCAAACCAAGATTTTAACCATGAAATTCCAAAGGTTTGAATTAAAGTTATTTAACTTATAACTTGTATTATATGTGTCTAGGTTTAAATTTTTCTTGGAACTTTATTCTTTTTTTTTTTATCACAAGTTCACTCTTAACTATACTAAAAACAAAGTTGCAAGCTTCTATTTTATTGGTAGTTGTACTAATGCTGCAAACTTCTATAAATTTGGTAGTTGTACAATTGACACAACAAAGAGAGATATTTCTAAAGCAAACAGTTTAACAGACAAGAATAAAAGTTTTTGAATAGTAGCTACTGTAAAAGGATACAAAAGGATACTGTAAAAGGATAGCACTACATGCTAAATAAAGCAAATTTTAATAATGAAAAAGGTCCTCATGAACCATCTCAGGTTTGCTGAAACTCTTTGATTTTGTACATATATCAAAAAAAAAAAAAGCAATGTTCTTAATGTTAAGTGGTTCTTGAGAAAACACTAAATAGTGGATTATTTTGCATAAATTTGCCTTCTTCAAGCAAAAGGTTTTTAAAAGCAACAGATATTTCAACAAGCATTTTAAGCAACAGAAAAATGACCAAACTTAAGTACTACGGTTTATTCTTAATTTAAATTTTAATTAAAAAAAAATATGATAGTGAATATTTTATTTTGGTATTAAACTCTGATGGTTTTGTGTCCTAGGTGGGACACAAGTTTCACAAAATTCTATAATACCTGGGCCCAGGTATTATAGAAGGTGCATCATCTCTCCAAATTAAACTTTGAAGTGTGTTTTCTATATAAACTTTATCAACAAAAATAAATTTCTTTGATGTACTGAACCAGCTGTATATTTTACTTGGTGTGTCAATGAGTTAAGTGATTGAAAACTGCAACAAAATATTACCTTTTCCCACAAGACACTTTATATTGCTAGAAAATTGATAACTTGAAACTTAAAAAAATAAAGTGAATAAAAATAAAAATGAGCAGTAAATAAATGTTTTAGGTTGTCTGATACTTTAACAAAGATTTTTTATCTTTTTGAAAATAAATCTTGCACCCATTTTTTTTTTTTTTTTTTTTAATATTCTCTGGCCTGTGTTACAGAAAATTACTTTAATTTTTTGTTTTAATTATCTATATTTTACAGAAGGGTATTTTAGTTTGTTTTTTTTCTCTGGCTTGTGTTACAGAAAGGTGTTTGTACTGTCTGGGCTAATTATCATAATTAAGAATAATCATTAGTCATAATTATCATAATTAATAATAATGATTGTTTAAATCTTGTTTGCTTTTTCTAAAGAATTGTAGAAATACAAGAGTTGTATTTCTATACCTAAAATATTGGCAATAGCTTTTTTGTGTAACATTTAAAGAGAGTGAGACTACTATTAGATAATTATTTACATCACTTTTGTTTTTAATTATGTACATCACTTTTGTTTTTAATTATGTACATCACTTTTGTTTTTAATTATGTACATCACTTTTGTTTTTAATTGTGTACATCACTTTTGTTTTTAATTATGTACATCACTTTTGTTTTTAATTGTGTACATCACTTTTGTTTTTAATTATGTACATCACTTTTGTTTTTAATTATGTACATCACTTTTGTTTTTAATTGTGTACTCACTTTTGCTGTATTAATGTTTATGTAATTTGCTTAATGATTTTGAGTTTTTATTATGTAAAAAAATATACTCCTTCTTTATGTGTTTGTTTTTGTTACTGTGTTTATCTTCCGATGAAAAGTTTTTATGTGTGTCAGAAATATATGTTAAAACTTCATACAATTTCCTGAAGTAGGTTTGTATAAAGCCTTAGTTATTTTTCATTATGTTTATAAATAACAAGTATTTTTTGTAACACTTGTAGAAAAACAATGAAGGATAATATTGATTTTGGATTTTTTTTAGGATAATAGGCCTTTACGTGCAACTTATCGCCACTTGATTTCTGAGAGTGCAGAAACAAATAATAATCTCAAGTTAAATCAAACTGATAGTAATTTAAAACAACCTGAAATTAGTCAAGGAGATGAATTACTTATGTTAAAATGGAATCGAAATAATCATTCTCATCAAAAGTCACAGTAAAAATTTTTAATTTGGGTTTCAAGTTTTTAGTTTTGTTTCTTTTTAGCTTCATAATAGTTAATTATAATGAAATTTTAAACTGTAAGTAAATTTTATTAAATTTAATGAAAATTAATATATTAAATATTTGATAATATAGTTACTGTATTATTTCTTTAAGTTATAATAAATATATTAAGTAATAAAAAATAAATAATAATGATTATAAATAATTAATAAATTTGATATACCTAAGTACTATAACTAATACCTATTACTATAATTAATATATAAAAGATTAGTTTAAATTTTTTTTTTAGTTTAAATGATGGTATGTTAACACGTTCAAAATTGCAAGCTATACCACGGTTTGTTTAATTTCTTTTTTTTTCTTTTTTAATTGCAATTTCAAAATTGAAATAAAACTTTTTTTTTTTTAGGGCTACATCACTCGGAAGCAATGTTCAAAAATCACGTTTAGTAAACACCCGTCGAGTTAATAGAGCTTCTACTAGCCATCACTTATTAAGATCGTAAGTTTATGTGATGTTTACTTTTTTTTAATTGTACTACTGATTTGTGTATATTTGAATATTTACAAAATTCCAAAACTGGCAGAGTCAATATTAAAACAATCCTTACTAATAATCATTACATACAAAATCTGTAAGTTTAAAATTAAATAAAATGATAATAAATTAAAATAGTTTAATCTTTAAATTAACAACAGATCACCATCACCAAGATAAACATTATTAAAATTTTGAGATTTTTACAAGTGAAAGTTCTTTTGTACAAATAGATTTTGATACCTTTAAATTATAATCTAAATAAATCTAAAAAGAACTAAAATAAAATGAATGTGTTGATAATAACACAATTGATAAACTTTGTTTATTATTACTTTGATATTTATTTCAAAAGTCTGCTTGTTTTGATTTTGATTATATTTTTCAATAGTACATGCCTCTCTTTCAAAATCAGCAAATCAGATTGCACATATGAGCTGTTTATTTTGAAAGTAGCATAAGTCACCTTTACAAAAAATCAAGTTATTGATAACAATGATTACAGTGTAACGGTATCTCTTCATTTTTGAAATGATTTAAACCAATTTTGTTGAAAATTAGTTGAAGATATTTTGAAAAAAAGTTTTGCTAGTCAACAGTAGAATGGTATTCCACACTGACCTAAACAATCTTTATTTATTTATTTACAATATTTTTTTAGTAAGCCATAGAAATATAGTTATTTTAAAAATTGTTCTTGGAGCAAAAAAAAATTAATATGTGTACTTTTTTTTGCATATTTATAGCTTATTAGAACCCATACCTCTTTTATTTATTTCAAAAAAAAAGTCTGAATTTAACATCTTCCTTCTTTAAAAAAAAAAAAGTTCTTTACTGAGTTAGATGGGCTGATTCTGTATCCCTAATTTAAGGCTATAATTAAATTTCAACCATCTTGTTAGGAATATAATTATTTATTTGAAGCAAAAGAAGACCTGCAAAACATAGCGGTTTTGGCAGGTTATTATATTATGGAGAGAGGAGGAGAACCATTGCAAATTTATAACTGTAATTATGAATTTTTATAGAGTTTTAATACCTAAGTGTAAGCATTTTTAGCTTGATGATTAAGTGCCATGTTTTCTGAAATAGTAAGGTAATAATCATTAAAGGTTAGAATCCTCTGCTTGGATAAGAAAATGATTATTTTGTTTTTCTAATTTTTCTGATTTTTTTAATACAATAGCATAAATTAATGACATTAATTAAAAACAAATACAAAGATGAATAAGAATTTTCGGAGCATTTTGGAGCAGTCACAGTAAAAAGATGAGACATAATTGAATGACGAGTAAAACAGGAATAAATTTTATTAGATGGCACAAAAAAGTTGTTCTGACATTTACACTTAGACACTTTGTTTGCACATAGCATTATATAAGTGAATTTTCTATAATTAAATATAACATTGTTTTTGCATATACGATATTCAATTGTAAAAATTCACTCACGTAATGCTATGTACAATTATCTGTAAGTGTAAACATTAGTACAACTGACACCAGGTAAGTTATATTTGCAGATTGTACATTTAAGGATTGTGTATGTATAAGAAAATTTTGTAAACTTTTCTAACAACTAAAAGCCTTTTTGATTAAACTGTTTTGTTTTGAAGTTTTCTATTTGTGTTTTTTTTGTGGGTTCAAATTCATCGCTACATTTTTGTGGGTTCAAATTCATCGTTACATTTTTGTGGGTTCTTGCCACTTTTTTTAAATAGAAATATAGTTTAACGAGATCATAAAGTGCCAAGACAAGTTTTGTTCATATTAAAAAGAATGTTTATAAAAAATATTTGAGTATAATTTTTTTGAGTAAAACAAAATAATACACATATATCATGCCTTGTTTTAAATAAAAAATGCTTAACACAATAGCCTAATGAATTTGACGTCATAAAATTATTTTTATTTTTTCATTTTTTAAAGATATTAACTTTCTTAAATTACTGCAATAATATTAATTACCGCGAAATGAGTTGACTGTTACTTAAATCGTTTTGCGGTAATTTTTTGGTTTATTAACTGTTATGTTATTAACATTTTTTTATTATTACTACGAAAGAATGTTATTTTCTTTTTTCTTTTTTTTTAATATCTAATAATTAAATTTAATATTACATTTTTAAAAATGTTTGATGTTAACAAATTTCTTTCTTTTCTCAACATTTGCATAAATGAATTAAAATATGTTAAATTTTTGAATTTTTAAATGATTGTTTTTTAAATTTCTAATTGCGGCTTTGCAACTACAAATGATTTTTTATTTTAAAAAATTAGCGAGTAACAAATAAAAAAATTAGTTACTTCATTTACATTATTAATTAAATGTTTATTTATAGTTTTATAAACAATTTTGTTTTGAAATTTTTTCAAATTATCACTGTATATAACTTGCATTATAAAAAAAAAGTCTAACTTATGTTTTGTGCAAATTTTTGATGCAGCCGTTAACTTGAAAATTAATTTTGAGTAAAAAAAAAATGTTTAGGAAGGATAACCGAAAAAACAATTGCAATAAAAATGAGCTAATTTTTTTTTAAGAATAAATAAAATTTAAATATTAAACAATATTTAATTATATTTTTAAATAAATTTGACAATTAAGTTAAACCCAAGCATTAACTTGAATATATTTTTTTGAATCAAAATTAAGTTATATATTTTTTAAATCTAAATTAAATTATTTTTTTTTTTATCATAATAAAATTATATATTTTTATTAAATTAGTTTTAAATTAAATCACATGTTTTTAATCAGAATTAATTTATATTATGATGTTTGCTTCAAGCCTAAAACATTAGCATTTTCAAGCAAAAAAAATCAATCATTATAATAAAATAAAAACAAAATAAGAATAAATTTTAAATTTTATTTGAGTTTTTTCCATTAGTAAATAGCGCCTACATCTAACATAATTGTCGTTCAAACTTTTGTAGCAAATGTTTTTACATAAACGTATTTTAAAAGCTAATGTGCTTTTTTTAAAAATTAAATACTTTTTTTATTTTACCACTTATAGAGTAACTTAAAAGTTACAAAGTTATAAAAAGTTGCTTAATCGAAATAGCTTACTGCTTATGTAAAATCGCTAAAGGCATACATAAATCACTCTATGCGTAACGTTTTAAAACAAGGCCTGCATATCAACAAAAAATTTGTAGTTTTAGTCAAAGCTTACTCTATTTTACTGTGATTTTTAAGTCTTTAAAATAGTTACACTTTTTTTGAAACAATTTACAGACATAATTTATAAGTGTGTATATATATATATATATATATATATATATATATATATATATATATATATATATATATATATATATATATATATATATATATAATTTATAATTTAAAATAAAACTACGTGATTTTCACAACTTTAAGTTTCATGCTGTTACAATGAAAAAATATTTAACGCATCAAAAACAGAATTCGAAGAAGCACTTGAACAAAACGGTTTTAAAAACTTTAACTTAAAGTACAACCCAAAAATCAAAACAACTCACAAAAGTAAAAAGGAATATAATTTGGTTTAACCCACCCTACAATAAAAGCGTCTCCACCAATGTTGGCCAAATCTTTTTGCAATTAATAGATAAACATTTTCCACCTTCAAACCCATTGCATAAACTATTAAATCGTAACACTACAAAAATTAGCTACAGCTGCTCAAACAACATTTCAAAAATCATAAAAAGCCACAACAAAAAAATAAATTTAATTAACACCACTGAAAATCTCCTTTGCAATTGCAAGCAAAAAGAAATCTGCCCGCTGAATAAAAATTGTAGAGCAACAAAAATCATTTACAAATGTATAACTTCTTCCCCAAACATGCCCAGCAAAGCATGCATTGGTTTATCAGAAAGAGTGTGGAAAAAGAAGTATGTAAACCACAAGCAATTATTTTTAAATAAGAAACTTTCAAATGCAACCACTCTCTCAAAACATATATGGGAAACAAGTGAAAAACTGAAAGAAACACCAGAATTAACTTGGTCTATCCTAAAAAAAGCCCCCACCTACAACAATACAACAAAAAAATGTTTACTTTGTTTATATGAAAAACTAATCATTTTACTTTATAAAAATGCTGAAGAGCCACTTAATAAAAAAACAGAGTTAATTTCCAAGTATCATCACGAAAATAAATTTCTATTAAGCAACCACAAACCTAAAGATACACGCGGTCATAATAATAAAAAAAGTTTTTTTCTGTATAGGTTTTTTTTCTGTTTAGTTTCAATTGTATATAATTTTTTAAACAAACAAACTATATTTGTATTTCACCTGATGATTGTAACAGCATGAAACTTAAAGTTGTGAAAATCGCGTAGTTTTATTTTCTACTATATATATTATAGCTCTGACTTAGTTCATCAAGCACTTTCTTGATAGTATATGCACGAAATGGCATCACTACATGTATATATATATATATATATATATATATATATATATATATATATATATATATATATATATATATATATATATATATATATATATATATATATATATATATAGTTATAAGTTTACAGGGCTTGAAATAAGCACCAGACATCGGACATTGTCCTGTTAAAAATGACATCTATTAGTTATTTTGTCTGACATATATTATATGTGCATTTATTTTCTAATCATTTTATTTGTTTCAAAATTATTAATAAATTCAGTATTGTATAAACTTTAGTTTTTGAACTTTTTATTTTTTATACAAAAAACAAAATTAAAGTTGAACACACAGCTACGTTAATAAAATACATCATTTTTTTTGGTTAATTTCTTTTTTAAAAGACGCCAAAGCATTATATTTTTTTTGAATTAAGTAGCCCGTTTTTTATTATTAATAATAAAATGTTGCAATTAGTTATTAATTTCAATTTATTGTTTAGTATTTATTTTTTTATTTTTTTGTCCGATGGTTTTTATAAATTTCAAACAAATATTTTAGCTTTGAAAACCTCTTTTAAATATATTTTATAAAAATTTTAATGTAATAGTTATTTTAATGCTTATAGAAACCAGTACTTTTTATTACACTATTAAATTTGAGTTGTTACATAACGTTTGTTTTCGCACTAAAAATTTTCACTATTAAAAAAGTGTTTATAAAATTAATTCAAGAAAAAGTTTGAAAAGATTTATAAAAAAAATACATATTTATATAAACGTAATTATGTGTAATATACTTTGATAATTTAAAAAAAATCTGTTTATTATAAACATTATAATTAAGTTGTAAAAACAAAATATTTTAAGCGTGTTCAGAAATGGCGTTTGATTGCACATTTTTAATTTTTATTGGACATGTCTGGTAAACTTGAGTCTTTACCAAACAAATTGTCCGGTAGAAAAAAGTTTGTTATTTCGAGCCCTGAGTTAATATATATTTTTTGTTTTAAAAATAAGCATTTCATGAGTCATAAACTTTTTTATGCAAGTTATGTATTAGCGTAGTGTTGTGGATTTTATGTTTCTTCGATTAAGAGTCGCATCAGACAAGGTTTCGAAACCTTTCATAGGATACTTTTTTTTAAATTTTAATGTTTTTTTTTTTAAATAGTTTTATATTTTAACTAATATTATTATTTATTTATAGTTATATTTAATATTTATTTTTATTTTTCAAAGTTAGATAGAGTAAGTGCATCAATGTACATAAATATTGTACATAAATATAAAATAATATAAATATTGTATAACATGTAACATAAATATTGTCATAGTTATAGTTCAGCTTAAAATTTTTTGAATATTTTAAAACTTTTGAATATTTTAATGTCTTTTGAATATTTTAATATGTCTTTTGAATATTTTAAAATGTCTTTTGAATATTTTAAAATGTCTTTTGAATATTTTAATGTCTTTTGAATATTTTAATATGTCTTATAATATGTCTTGGCAGTTTAGTATATTTTAATATGTCTTGGCAGTTTACCTTTAAGCAAAAAAAGACTTATTGTTTAAATTTTTTATAAACTATCTTATATTTAACAAATACTCTACATGATTATTCCATATATGATCCTCAAACTTAAATTTACTGGCATTTACACTTTGTAAACGTCTGTATGTAACGCTGTATAAGCAGATATTTTGCATTTGCATAATGGGTATTGATTTTAAATTAAATATTGTATATGCTATGCAATATAGTTACACTTATGTTGAGTACTTATGCAGTAGCTTTGATTAATTAAAATTAATTAGTTTAGTAGTTTATTAGCTTGAATTATTTAGAATTGGTATAAAATAGTTTTTACAGGTTCAAATTATAAATGTTTAAGTGAGTTCAAAGCACCACTAAATGTTTAAATGTTGAACCCATTTAAAGACTGCAGTGTTTTTGTTTAAGTAAAGCACGCATATAAACAAACAAAAGTATTTGAACAAAATCAGTTTACCAAATAAAGTTTTTTATTTCATATTTTTCATATTAAAAGTTTTTCATATATGTAACAATGTAATGATGTTCATATATGTAACAGTGTAATGATGTTCATATATGTAATGGTGTAATGATGTTTGGGGCTCAATGATAAGACAAAATATGTCTTCTTCTAGCCCCGGTCATTTAATTATTTAACATTTTTAGGGCAGGTATTGTGAGCTATAACATTTTTATTTCAAGTAACGAGTACAAACAAATACTTTTATTAATTTATATGTACTAACATTTATTTAAGTAAAAGTATACAAATATATGAAAACAGACAAATCTTAAATGTATGTAAAAAAAAATTTTTTTCATTTTTTTAAGGCGCTCTAATGGAAAAAAGAACATAGATCTCAGTTTTACACCAAATATGGCTGCAACATATTCTAAGGTTGTGTAATCAATTAACCATACTTTTTATTATAAAATCTGGTTGCAGACTTTGAATAATTTTATTATGAAAATACTTTTGTCCAGTTATATGTGTTAAGCTGACTATTTTTTGACGATATATTTTCATAGAAGTTTGTAAAATACAGGTAAAAATGTACTCTATCTGATTATTAAAAAATAAGTAATTTTTTTTCAGTTTTTTTTTACACCATTTTAACTTTTAACCATTTAAACATTTATTTTTTGAACTTTTGTAAAAAGTTTTCTCTTGTAGATTATTTTACTAATATAATTTTCAGGACTTTGCAAATAATTTTTGATATCATTAGTTTTATTGTTAGGTTTATAATTTTTAATTCTTTAAATTTTAATGTTTTTTATTCAATAATAAAAAGAAAGAGAAAGGAAGAAAAAAATAAAGCAAAAAATAAAATTCTTTTTTCAATGCAGTTCTTTATTTTGCAGAATTTTATGAAAGACTTATGAAAGAGGAATATTATTGAACTTTTATATTTATTTATTTATTGTCTTGGGAATTATTACATTAAGGAGCAATAGCATTTGTTTAAACTAAATCCAAATCTACTGCATTTAGTGATTAATTTTTTTACAAACATTTGCCCTCCTTTAATTTTTTTTTTTTTTTTTTTTTTTTTTGCATTTTAAAAAAAGATTTTTGTATTTTTTTTTTTTTTTTGAACAAAATTCGTTTAGTTTAGTTGCGGTTGACTATTATCATATAAATACTATATCCAATATATATCTATGTAAATATATTCTGCTATTTTTTGAAATATGTTGTTTTTTTTCCCAGCCTTAATTTGCAAACCACTTTTATTTCTATTATAACTTTATATTTTAGCTTTCATGCTTTATAGTTAAACATTTTGAGATTTAGTTGAGATTAGTAATTTTTAAGTATATTCATGGTTTTTTCCATAAATTTTAAAATTTATTGAAATTTTTGAATGCTTAAATAATTTCCTGATTAGATAAACAGATAAACAGGTAAGACAAGTTGAATGTTAATCAGATGACAGTTAGGATATGCTGAACAGTGATTAGATGACAAGTAAAACATGTTGAATTGTGATAAGATGACAGGTGAAATATGTTGAATGGTGATTAGACAACAGGTTAAATGTGTTGAACAGTGATTAGATGACAAGCAAAACATGTTGAACTGTGATTAGATGACAGGTGAAGTATGTTGAATAGTGGTTAAATGGCAGATTAAAAGTGTTGAACAGTGATTATATGACAAGTGAAACATGAAACTGTGATTAGGTGACAGTTTAAGCATATTAAACAGTAGTTATGTATAACAGATAAAATATAATAATAATAGTGATCAGATGACAGGTTAATCATGTTAAACAGTCATTAGGCAATAGGTAAAACATGTTGAACAGTGATTAGTCAAATTGTGATTGGTTGAAAGGTAATATCTAATTTAATAGATATAGGTAAAAATTTGTTAGAGCTCAATCAGATATTTTAAGGTTTTTATATCATTTTTGAAATTTTATCATTTTAAATATATTTTTGGACTTTTTTGTAAAGATCATAATTTATTAGAATGGAATGTTATGGCAATTTACAGTGCACACTTATTGTAGAAGTTTTGAATCAAAATGGACAGATTCAAAGGCGTCAGGAATTTTCAGGTGTTAATATAAAATTAGGGCGTGACCAGTTTCGAGACATTTTAATAAAGTTCGCTAGTGAAACATACGCCTTAAAAGATTTTAGTATATTAGATAAGTTTTTGAGTATGGGTAAAACAACAATAATGTTCCAGAAACTTCGTACAAATTTATTAATATCAAATGCCCCTCCTGATCAGTTAGTTATTTTTTTAAAAATGATAAAAATTAAAGCAGCTATTCATAAGACTACAGCAACCGACCGCATTAAATTATATTCTAATGCAAAGAAATCATTTGAAGAGATCAGCCCAGTGACTTTGCAGGATGTTAAGTTATTTAAAGATAAACAAGCCATGACTACCCATTCTTTAAAAAATTCAAATATTCAAGTTACTCCTATTCGTGCTACTAAACGTGGTCTAGAAGTTGTTGATGACAAACCAAGAAAAAGACTTCATTCGTCTACCTCTGCAATTAGTTTGATAAAACTTGGAAATAAAGTAGAAATACCTAAAAAAGTGATATGTCCTGACTTAATTCATTCATCAGATGATAAAGCGGTAAAGTTCAATTGCTTATTAACTAAAGAGCAAGAAGAGGTAATCAGGGCTGTTAAACAAGGTTTCAATGTTTTTTTTACTGGAAGTGCAGGAACAGGAAAGTCATATTTGCTTAAAAGAATAATTGGTGCTCTTCCACCTGATACAACAGTGGCTTCTGCAAGTACAGGTGTTGCTGCATGTCAAATTGGTGGTGTTACATTGCATTCCTTTGCAGGTATTAAATAAAAATTTATCCTAAACAATCTGATCTTTTTTTTGTCTTTCTATACAATTATATATACATATATATATATATATATATATATATATATATATATATATATATATATATATATATATATATATATATATATATATATATATATATAAATTATGTTAGTGTATTCTACAAATAGAGTGCTCAATGTTCTTAAAGAACAGCAATAATAAACTAGTAAAAACACATTTAATTTTTAATAAATTAAATAAGTGTTTTTACATTAGATAAATTTAAATGTATATTTTATTATATAAACAAATAAAATTATTTAAAAAATAAAGTTTACCTTAATAAATACTCATTAGTCCTGTATATTTTTCATTCTTTTCTTTTAAGTTTCTTCATTAATGGTTTTCTTGTTGTTCTTATCAGCATATTACTTCTGAATTTTAGACTTTTGGTCTTATTTCTTTGACTGTATCACCATCTAAGCTCCATTGTTGAAATTTTTTTAGTAACAGCAATGTGCAATCTGTGTAAGCCATAATTCTACAAAATTTTACTGAAAAATGTTTAAATATTACACTTTAACAAATTTTTATTTTTGTTATGTCCTTGGGTTTAAAGTGTGTTTTACTAATCTGTTTTTCCAAAAACAAATCCGTTTTTTTCCAATTCTGTCTGCGGTAAAATGAGCTAGTATCTTCATTAGACAGCAGATTTAAGAAGATCATAGAGTGTGATGAGTTTGCCAATCTCCTTAACAAATTTGAGAGGTTGCTTGGAGCAGTTTCACAGCAGTTGTTCATATCTTTCTAGGTAATCATAAGGCAGAATGCAGTTCCACAAAGTTGTAGTGTTGGTTCAGGTTTTCATAAACAGTTATGCCAAATGGAGAATGTTACTCATACTCCATATCCTTAATCCTTATAAATTCAATAAATTCAAGGAAAACTTAAAAGTTTACTTAGAGGTGCAAGGGGAGCACTTTCATCAAGCTATATTGATCTTTGAACATTGTTATCAAAGACAGTATAGAAAAAACATGATGGGGGACTACATTTGAGAGCAACTTTGTAAAAGTTTACTGTACACTTTCAAATCTAGAAAATTTAATTATTTCTGTAGCTTTTGAAGTATTTTTTCACTATCTTTATTTAATATGCTTTTTTTTTCTTACTAGACCGAATGATTGAAAATATAAAGTTTTCTTGTTTTTTTGTTTTTTAATAAAAGCTTGTGTCTAATGTAGCCATTTTATTTAGCTATAAATAATTAAAATATAACACATTGAATCCAAGGGTAAAAACTGTGTTATTCTCAAATAGAAATATTGTATGAAACATATGATAAGATCTATTAGTGCTTTCAATAGAAATAATTTTTTAATAACTTGTGCTGTTTCTAGGTATTTTAGAAGGTAGGTATTTTTATTTTTTTTTTACTATTGTTGATTATTTCTGAAAATTACAATTAAAATATTATAAAAGAAAACATATGCCTACACCCATACATGCATAAGAATGGGTGAATAAAGCAATTGCGAATTTTATTATTCTAGATTAAAAATTTTTGATTCAATTATAAATATAATACTTTGATTAACTACTTTTTACATAAGCAATAACTAACAAATGCATGTTAACAAACAATAACTAACAAATACATGAAAGCAAACAATAACTAACATGGAAGCTATTACTGTTATTACTTTAGCAGAAGTAAATTTATTGTTTTGATTTTATACAAAATTTTTGTGATGTGTTAACTTTAAGTTAATTTGCCCTTGTTTGAACCTTTGTTATGAACAGTTTTTGATAAACTAAAATTTTACAGACCAGAAATTTTTCCAAATATCACAATTTGTGATTATTTAATTTGGGTCTTGATAACACCCAATAAATACAGCAGAACCTTCTAATTATAAATATATAATATGTAATCAATGTTTCTTAAGGGATTGGATCTGGTGATGGTAGTTTAGAAAAGTGCATTGAACTAGCATCTCGCCCATCTGTTATTCGAAATTGGAAGCGTTGTAAAGCACTTTTAATTGATGAGGTATCAATGATAGATGCTGAATTTCTTGATAAAATCGAACAGGTTTTTTTTATTTGCTAATTATAATTTATGTTCTTTGTTTTTTTCTCTCCCAAGAAAAGAGTGAAAGTTAAACAATAGTTGCTATGAGAATAGTTTCTGTGTAAACATCCGACAATAATAGCTGGTTGTTGAGAAAGTTAAAATTAGGAGTGAATTTAAATTCTAAATATAGATTAAAACTTTAAAATGAAATAATCATCTGTTTCAGGTTGCTCGTGCAGTACGCAATTCAGAGCTGCCATTTGGTGGTATACAGCTCATAATGTGTGGGGATTTTTTGCAACTACCTCCGGTAAAAAAAAAAAAACAAATACAGAATTATGAGTTCTGTTTCCAAGTTAGTTGAACAATTTTTATGAATTTTTATGTTTTGTGTTAATCTTTTGCATTTGGTAATATTTATGTGTTCTTTGTTTATACTGTTATGTTTATTGTAGTTTATGTCCTTAGTTCTTACTCTGATGTATTGATTGAAATTTATGTTTTATTTGTTAATCATGTTACATTTATTGAAATTTGATAATATGCTGAGTCATAAAAAATAATAAAAATGAGGATAAAAATAATAACAGGCAAAATGTTGGAAAGATATTATCCAGGTTTCTATGGAATTAACCGAAGTAAAGCGACAAAAAGATGAAGACTTTATCAATTTATTGCGCTACATTCGTGTAGGAAAGTAAGATATATAAGTATAGGCTACTTTAAATGAATACATTACTAAACTATTTTTCACAACTGAAATATTGTTGCCACTTATAAATGATGAAGTACGTGCCCAAAATTTTGTTTGATTGTTAGGGTGAAGGGAAATTTTTTTTTCGAAATTAATTTAGTAAGGGTGTGCTAAAGTTATCCACTCATATCAGAATAATTTTGAAAATTTTCAATGTTCTAAAAAACTATTAAGATGTAAAATATTTGAAAATTTAACAGGTCTCTAATATTACCAAAAAAGAAATTTTTCAAATATATTATGTTGGGTCTCAAATGAAGTCAAATTATATAAATTATTTAAAAATATTAATTTTTTATTAATTTTTAGTTAAGATTTTACTTTATTATTTAAAATTAAAAATGTGCATGTATAAGTTTTTTTTACAATAATTTTTTTTTTATAAAATGATTATTATTTTTGAAATTTTTACATAATTTTACCCAACAAAAAATATTTTTGAAAACTTTTTTCTAATAATATTAGGAACCAGTTCCATTTTTAACGGTCTATGGGGCACATCTATATAATTTTTTATAAACATTGAATATTTTCAAGAACATTTCTGATAGGAGGGAATCACTTTTACACACCCTCACTAAATAAAATTTAAAAAAAGTTAAATTATCACACCACCCTCCACACTCTACCTTAATGATTATATTTGGTTGTGAAGATGTCTGCTCTTTATTTAAAGATGCTTAAAAAAAAAATATTTTTGTGTAGGTGTCCAGAGGAAGTATACAACAAGTTAATTTCAACACAAAATAATGAAATTGAAGTTGCAGGTATTCAAGCAACTAGGTTGTGCACTCATAAGAATATTGCAGAGGAAATTAATGCCACAAAGATGAATGAACTTAAAACAGAATCAAGAGTTTATATATCTTCAGATAGCAACAGCGAACACAGTGAACAAATGAATAAGCAACTTCTTGTTCAAAATAAAATAGAGCTCAAAGTTGGATCACAGGTATTACTATTTAAAAGTGAAATTAGCTTGCATTTTTTATTATGTTGCAATTTTTTTTTTTTTTTAATGCTCAGTTAAAAACCAAATAAAATATTTTTAAAAACTGATATATAATACACATCATTTTTCTTTATATTTTTGTATGTTTTTTGAATGTTTCTATGTTTTTGAATAAAAATTCTGTCCATTTTAAAACTGTAAATGCAGCTATTATTTTGAAACTACTCTGTATGTACACATGTGTGTATATTATATTGATAAATCTTTTTAAAATGCACTTTTTTCATTTATAGTTGTGTTTTTTTTTAAGATTGTTAAAGGAAAAGGTTCTATATAATAACAAAAAGATAAAAAGTAAACAGAGGTTGTTTAACTTAAAAGTAGTTAAATCCTGATATGCGGATGACAAAAGTAATACTTCAGAACAGTTTTAAATAAACACCACGTATATCTTTTTAAATGGATAATTTATGGTTGTTTACTCAAATCGTGTTAAAACGCTCCTCCTATTTTAAAAATTTTTAAAATTCTTAAAGTTCTTTAAATTATTAATTTTCGCTGTTAATTCATTTTATAAATGATACATAATTTAATAATTTATTTGTTTTTTGCTACTTTTATAAAAAAAAGTAACTTGAAGTTAAAAGAAGTTTATATGATAGTTAATATTATAAACACAATGATGGAGACCATGGAATTGCTCTATATTTGTGAAATGTCAAAGGGTGAAATGGATAACTTTGAATTTTGTCTTGCACAACAAACTCAATTTTTTCTGATTGCAAAATACTATTTTTATTTGCACTTACTTTTATATATTTAAAAGTGCACAAAAAATCTTTAAAAATATAAATCTATAAGATAAATTTTTTGAAATATAGAAATTAATTATGAACAATAATTGATACACTTTGGCATTAACTCTGTTAATTTATATATCTATACCTTATATATGTTTAAACTATGTTTAAAAATCCAAGGACAAGGTTGCAAGTCCATGCTGTATGTTAATAGAGCTTTTTTTCATTATTATTATTATTCAATATACTTCCACAAGGCTATGTAAATTCAGATTTTTTTAAATCTATACTTTTTTTAAGAATAAGAACGATTACAGTGTCAAAATGACATATGCACGGTTAATTCATAGTAATTTAACAAACGCAATACGAAATAAAAAATTTTGAGATCAGAAAGAAATATATACATAAAATAAATAAGGAAATCTTGATGTTTTGAAATTTATAAATATATAATTGGTTCAACAGTTAACTATTATTAACTATTCTTTATGCTATATTCACACTTATATTTGGAATTGTTACGTTTATAGTTGGAATCCCAATCGTAGCAAGTTTATCGGAACAGCTTTTGGGAGTTACTGCATCAACAGTGCTTAGAGATTTTTCATCATTATTATACAGCTTTTGGGTTTAACTTTCTTTTTCAAAAGAAGTGGGTTTACAATAATGTACATTGGTTTTTTCTTTTCTTTTTTTTATTTGTTAAAATAAAATTTGTTTGAGATTTAATTCTTTTGTTGGAAGCAACTAATGACGTTGTCTTTATTTCTTTCACTAAATGATATTCCGACATTGCATGAAAAGTGTTCATTGTGGTTGTTATCTAAAATAGATTGCAGTATATCTGTATGTATATATATATATATATATATATATATATATATATATATATATATATATATATATATATATATATATATATATATATATATATATATATATATATATATATAATTGTGTGTGTCAGTGTGTGCGTGTGTTATACTAATGTAATACTAATAACTGTTAAAAAGATCGATATGGTTCATTACTCACTTGTTTTCCAATGTATTTTAAAGCTTCAATATCCAAGTTGCTACAGTTTTTAATGCAGTGCATCAAGTTATGGAGCAAGTTCTCTATCTTAGACTATGTTTCTTCAAAGTTTGAAACTTTGTGTAACTTCTCTAGGTTGCTTTTTAGAGCATTAAAAGTAATTTATTTACCTTGAAGTTTATAAAAAAGAATAGGGATAAGAATAGAAATAAACTTATCTAGTTGCTCCCATTCTTGGATCCATGATTGTTGACATGATTGTTGACATGATTGTTGACACGATTGTTGACATGATTGTTGACATGATTGTTGATATGATTGTTGACATGATTGTTGACATGATTGTTGACATGATAAAACATTCATTTGCATGTCGTTCCAACTCTTGCAATCCAAAAGCCCGTTTGATTTTTAAAATATCTCCGTTTTCGAATAAATTAATTCTTTGAAACTTATCATCCCTATCATAAAAATTTGTAGGTACATTTATGACAAGAATAAAAAAACAAATTACTGTGTAATAGTTGTTTGGAACCATATACCAGACTGTGGAATCAAAAAGTCAAGGTTCATAGAAGATCTTAGCAATGTCTTAATTAGACCTCTCATTTTAGGTGAAAACACATTGCATCCTTACTAATTCAAAGAGAAACTGTACTTTTTAGGTAGATCTTTTTAGGTAGATTCAATAGGTTCATCAAAGTTGGGGTTGTTTTTTTTTTACCAAAAAGATTGGTGCACCTCATATTGTCCTGATGAACAATCTTTTCAATAAGTTTAATAAAGTTTTATATTATATGTATGATATAAATGATATAAGTTTGCTGAAGAGTTTTTTCCTGATTTCATTCTGATTTTTTTCAGCCTAATTTCCCTGATTATTCCAAAAAAATTTTGCAGATATTGAATTCTCTGATTTGGCAGACACCCTGAATAAGCAAAAAAGTTTCCAATAGTAATAAACAATAATCCCAAGACATACTTGTAGTAAGTACAACATTTAAATTAACATATTTATGAGCAAGAATTTACAATTCATAACAATAGAATAAAATGAAATCATTATTTCATTTTATTCTATTGTTATGAATTGTAAATTCTTATAAATAGAGAATATTACATTATTTTATAGATCAGTGTTAAAAATAGCCCAAATCTAAAATAAAAGATACAAAGACACAACATAAATAAAAATAAATAAATAACACACGCACACGTGACACCTAAAATATAACTTTAATTGAATGCAAAAGGAGAAAATATAACAAAAGATTGCATATTTTCTTATTAAATAAAAGATAACAAAACCAATAGTACTGTAGAATTTGGCTAAAAAATAGTGAAAGAAAAGAATTTAAAAATTTAGAAAGAAATAGAAAAGAGAAAAAGTGAAAAAAATTTTATATTATATATCATTAGAAAGATAATTATATCAGTTTTTCTAATGGTGTATCTTGTCGCTTTTTTGGAGTTGAGCAAAAAATATGGTGGATCAAAATGTGAATGTAGGTTTTTTCATTTTATTAATAAAGTTTCATAAATATGAAACAGTGTTCTTAGATATCATATCTTCATTATTGAAAAAAAAATTGCCATGATGTTATTAAATGACTGAACAAAAGGAATTAAATATTCCTGAAAGCTTAAGTATTCATTTTTTATAAAAACAAATTTCACTTTGAAATCATAGCTATTAGGAAAATAATATAAAAAATACTTATTTATAAATGTATTTGAAACAGCTGTGAATTAAATATTGAATTAGATATAAAAAAAACTATTTTGTTTAATTGACTGTTTTTTTATTTAAAGAAAAAATAATAATGGAAGATGAAATTCAAACTGATATATCAAATGTCAAAATGCCAAGAAGGTGTAAGAATACATGATCCTTTGAATCATGTAGGTTCAAAGTATTCTGATTATAGCAAGAAAAAACATCCCCTGACTGCTATCATAGAGAATGCTGTGAAGCTTAATTAAGATACTTTAGTTGATAAGTTTTACTTTAGTTGAACAAAAGAACAAAGGCAAACACTTATATTCATTTATCCTGTAGGAATTTCTAAAAAATCGCTCTCGAAAAAGATCAATGAAAATCGAGGCAGAGTGTGATACTAGAGCCAAAATGGAACTATTTTTAGAAAGAGACATAGAGTTGTTCACGTTGTCATAATTTCATTCAAAAATGATGTCAACCAATGATGACATTTCTTCAATAAAAATGACCAAAATCAAATTAAAGGAAATGTACGGTGATTCTTTACGCTTTGTCAATAGAGAAGGCAGAAGCAATATAATTCTATTAATCAGTGTTAGAGACATCTTATGTGAAAAATGGTACCAAGAAAAAAACACAAATGAGGAGAAACGAGGAGAGAGAGCGTGTTGTTTTAACAGCTGCAAAACTTTTGAAAAATGTCATAAAGAATTATGACTACAATTCCAACACATATCCTTCCAAAGAGGACATCCTAAACATTGAAGGAACCCATTTACCTCAATTATTAAAAACATTTAATTATAAACTAGTTCAAGCACCATTAAAACAGGTTTCAATATAACAAGCTTTATTTTCTGTAACAAGTCCCAGGTCTATTATGCAATTGCAGTTTGGAGTAGTGATTTCGCCGGTTATCCGTTTCAAAAACTGGATAACAGTTCTCATCAATTTGCGGTTAACCGACTATTCGGTAAATTAGTGACGCTTTCTGAATCCAGGATCTTCTAAATTTCAACGAACGTAGCGTTTTAAACTAATTTTTTTAAAATTAATGTTAAAGTGTACATTTTCAAGACAGTTTGTGAATACAGTCCTATATTATATATTTATAACAAAACATGGAAAAAGATATATATATTTTTTTTATTATAGTATAATATACCTTTTTAATTATATAATTGAAAAAGGTAGGAATAATGTACAAATGTTTTAATATCAGCGGATGTTTTAAATGTTTTAGTATCGGCGATGTTTTAAATGTTTTAATATCATGATGTTTTAAATGTTTTAATATCAGTTTAAATGTTTTAATATCAGCGGATGTTTTAAAATCGTTCTCTCATATAAAAACATTTGATTTGGAAAAATGAGATGTTATGAAGTAAATTTTTTTAGCGTGTATTTTAAAAACTTATTGTTATGCGGACATAGATGGAAAC